CCTTGAAGTAGGCAATCCAATCAAAAAGCCAAAAAGGGAGTTAAAAACCGTTAAAATTGGTCAAAATCGTACTCTGTTGAAAGCAAGCCTATGTACTGCTTTTGTCTGGCCAATTCATCCTACGAATTTAGCAGCGTATCAACCAGGAAGGAACAGCTACTTTACTCCGAAATCTTAATTTCAAACCCTAAATCAGGCTAAGAGCATAACTCGAGAACAAACAAACCAGAAGTTCGAAATTATGAGAAAACATTTCACTGCACAGTACATCATCTATGCTGATCTGAGAGCTCCATGAGCTCACAGTATTAACCATCGTTCCAAATAAGGCAAACTATGAATCAAGATATTTAGAGATTTGCTATGAACAAAAAGGCCAGGCCGGAATCATGACAGAGTAAAATCACATTTTGATTGCTCAACTGTTGCTCATCAACTAATAGCCAGGAAAAGAAGACAGCGGTGGCGCATTAGTAATAATAATGACAGGAACGGAAACGAACTCGATCGATGCCGCGCTGGAATAATAAAATATGCAAAATTTTGCATACTGCACACAGTGATTTCGTATCATTCTCGCGATGCTGAAGTAAAAATTCTGCCACACTTTTCAACCGTTCCAAAACAAAATCGCGTAGGTTCTTGCCTTTATGAGTTATCGCTGCAAACGAACACCACATCAGTACTACCAACAAGGAGCTCAAACTCTGCTTTTCAGATGTTCACCAGAACGGATGCGATTGCGCGGATGTCTGCCGAGCTGATGATGGACAGTCAGGAAGGGGAGGAGGAATACCTCTGGCACAGCAATCTTTCAACATATCGACAGAACATAAATCAGCTGTTCTCCGTGATTTAATCAGCGCCATATAAAAACAGCTCCTGTTAGCAATCGCTGTGTTCGTCGCAATGGGTGCAATATCGAATTTTAGCATGGATTAACGAGGACTGTAACGGCCATCACAGGAAAAATGTCATTTGCGGAACTCGAGGGAGCAGTATCACTTTAAAAATTCAACAGAACACTTCCCAACTTAGCAGCATCATAAAACACACCTTTCACCCGAGCAGGAGCAGCAACAAAATGGAATGGATAAACTTTAGCGGGTGAATCCGTCAGCGGGATCAACTTGCCACTAAGAGCAGGCAGTGCAGCTGAAACACCCGCCAAACAGCTGCTCACTATCTCCAGACTTTTTAACATCCTGGCCCTGAAATTTTTCACACACTTAAAGAGCCAAAATTGAAAATAAATGGTCACGTTTTGTTCCATCGTAGGTACAAGGTTGCTGAATTTGAACTCACAGATTTAAAAAATATGCCAGAAAATACAAGCGAAAATTATCAAGAATGAAGCAAATAATGCGACAGCAAGTCTTCTACAGCATTCTTTCTGAATAGCAAAATGGCATTTCACTCCTCAGTGCTTATTCAGTCATGTACTGAACGCGACATTTCATTGTAAAGTTCTTGCTACGGCGCTCCTAGAAGTGGCACAAACTCAGGTAAACCAGTATTTACTTACTTCTCCAGCGAGCTCGGATCTGCCAATCTTTCTAGCTCCGGATAGAAAAACTCATCAAGAATAGTATGCGCCAGCTCGAGTTCATCATCTGTTGGCACATGCCAGACCACCTTGAATGCTTTCTTACTAACCGTTGCGGCCCAGTGCTGCAACAAAAACTGTTAGAAATACTGCAGAGACAGAAGGGAATTATTCAGCCACAAGGCACATCTAATTGCTTTTACTCCAGCGCCGTTGCTTATGGGATTCGTTTGAACTAATTAGCTAAGCTGGGGGCTCGGCTGACCACGAGCAAAATCCACCTCAAAGCAGACGACTCCTCACAAAAAATACAGTACAACTGCTCTCATCATCCGCATCC